GACAAGTTCCACTGAAACTGGCTTTTTCATGTTTTCTATTGTTTTGCCAAATACATAGTTGTTTATAAGTTTGAAAAAGTCCTTCTCGAATCTGTTTCGTGCTTCTTTTCTTTTGAATGTATTAAAGTCAATGTAAGGCTTCAGCCAAGCGGATTGGGTAAATTCAATAACACGCAGAATTTTCGTAAATATCATACCTTTAGAAAGGTAGTATTTTAAATTCCGGTAATGGAGAACATATTGCTGCTTGGAGCAGAGATTTGGAACAAGTTTTCCGGAAGGTTTACTTTTGATATTCAACTTCTCACGAAGCTTTAGAGAATGTGGAGAGAGCATGTCCTTTGTTATGCTGATGTTCTCGGGTGCTAGGGGATATTCGTTGTGCTTGTCGTGCAAATGAATCGGATATTCAAGGTCAACTTCCAAAATGTAGCCCGTGTCCGCATTGTCGTCAATATTAGATACGTCAAACTGTGCGATTTGTTCTGCTGTCAACCATGCACAGTCCTTTTCCGGTAGGGATTCAGACATGCTTGTACCATATAGGTTATTCATGTAAAGGTACGTGAGCCAAGTGTTTGGTTTGGACGGATCGCATTCCGGCGACTTGGGATTATTAGCCTGTGCAAATTTCTTTGAAATCATTGCCACACCACCTCGAATACCCTTTTCAAACATCAGTACCATGTCGTGTTCATAGTCTGTTTCGGATAGATCTGAATCTATCAGTTTATTATAAAACCGATCCTTTCCGGGCAATTCATTTCCGTCAAACGTTTCGGGTGATGTCACGTAATCGTACGGAAACACTCCCTTCCTAAGAAGAACTTTGAGATGTTGCTTTTTTGGGAAGCGCTTTGACAAGTTTGGGAATTTATCTATTCCTTCGACTGCTAAATTTGACACCAGTTTGTCAAGCGGTGCATTTAGAAATTATAAGGAATCTATGAATCTCAGATTCCCAAGGGAGAATAACGTATTTTTCCATATGGCTTGGTATACAAGACAAGGGTTTCGATTTAAATTTCCCCGCCGATTCCATCAACAAATGCATATCATAACCACGCAAGTTATGAAATACCACGGGGATGTAAAAAAGCGAGTGTGTATGTACATACGTCTACACATCTGGAAAGTTAAAACTTTAACTGCATCCTAAACTATATTTTGATGAATCTCAATTATTAATGTTTCTAATCATAAACACCTAGGTTTGTTTTTCAACAGCAAGGCTAATTGGTATAACCACAGAAACTATTTATACGAAAAAGCTTATAAAAGAATTAATATACTTAGAATGTTGAAATACAAAATTGATAGAAAATCACTCGAAACTATATATATCACATTTATACGTCCAATTCTGGAATATGCAAATATTATCTGGACAAACTGCACGCAGAATGAATGCAGTGTCTTGGAGTCTATCCAACTAGAAGCAACACGTATTATTTCAGGATTAAGACGTGGAACAAGTCATGCTATCTTATATAGAGAATCTGGTTTTATAACACTTAATAGAAGAAGACATTTGCATCAAAATATTACTTTTTATAAAATATATAATAGGAAAGTTCCCTCTCATGTCTATGATATAATTCAACCGTACATTAATGATAATACTGGCAATTATCATCTTCGCCTCAATAGAATTTTTGATGTTCCTATACCAAGAACTCAGTTATATAATGCCAGTTTTTTCCCGAAACTGATGTCTGAATGGAATAATCCAACCTGCCTGTATCCCACAATGACATCCATTGGATCTATAAAAAGAATTTTTTTACACTCAGAGAAAATGGATTCTCAACCCCAATGTACTGATATTTTTAAATACAATGGTGATCGAAAATTTAATATTACCTTACGTCAAGTTAGAAACTGTGCCAGTAACCTGAATTCAGATCTATTTGAATCTCACCTAATTGATACCCCTGCCTGCTTATGTAGTTCTCCTGTTGAGGATTGTGATGACTTATTCTTACATTGAACTCTGTGTACTAATCAAATGCAAATTCTCCTAAACTCCATTTCTGCTCTTAATGACATTATTCCATTAAATACTCAGACTTTTCTTTATGTATGTCGAAGGCTCGATATCAATATGAATATAAGTATCTTGGAGATAGTTCAGAGATTCGTTAAAGATACAAGACGCTTTAACTACATTACACTTACTTGTTTATCTTTTTTCACGTGACTTTGCTGTAGGGAATGATTCCAGTACATAATTGTACTATGTGCTGTCCACCAGCATATTTTCAATTGCCTTTTTTTGTAAAATCTAGTTTTTGTACAACCATTACCAAAAAAATAAAATAATGACATGCAAATATTAATATTAATGTACATAATATACATGTTTTATCATTACTTCAATTCAATATGATGTGTGTAAACTGTTTATAACTGTAAGGAGAGGGCGCTCATAGGGTTTGCCTGTTGACCAATTCCTTTGTATCTAAGATCTGAACAATAACTATTCTGAAATGAAACTGATAACGCTTTTGTAAGTAAAGGCGTCTAATATACACAAATTGGGAAAACCCACACCGGGCTTAAAATAACTTCGATACAGCAATATAGAAGCGGACCTAACCGGTTTCTCTGAAAATAGACTTGACGCAAGGCAGTCACTCGTCCCTTACTGATCCATCCCGTCAGGGAGGAATTTATTATAAATATAGAGGGAGGGATAAAGTGGCGTAGAACTCTCATTTCCTATGCATCATCAGATATATAAAAACCTCGAATTATTATTATTATCATCATTATTATCATATATTACACCTTTATATCAAAAATGAAAGATAACAATATTGTATAGGAGAGACGAAGTCAATGATACACCACTGATGTTACAGTGGCGGACCCAGAGGATATTATTGGGTTTCAGCAAACAACCAAAAATCTTGTTCGTTTTTCTCAATTTCCTAATTGGAATAACCTTTCCAAGGAAAATTTGAATCCCCTCCCTCACGATTGGCGTTTGAATCTACCACTATACCGTATTGGGATTTATAATGCAGTTTTAGTGAAGACTGAATTTACCAATATCTGGCTTTATAATGAAAATGATTTTTTGTTATATCGTTAAGATATCATTGTAATATTTTTATCATATATGTGTAATGTAATTCATGTCTTTGAATTCTCTCCACATTGTATTTTGTATCATGTAGACCCATATCCTAAAGCACTAATACTAATTTAGTCATGATGATTGGTCGTTTCACACACTGTCGTACAATGTAGTAAACCGAACGATTTGTTTTCCAAATGTCGGTAAAGTTAGGCTTCATATACTTTCTATAGCATGTGTCGTTATACAAAAGTTGAAAAAGATATATCAAAGTAAACCCGCAATAAAAGTTAATTAAAGAGAGGAATTGCGGAAACACAGAGCAAATGAGAGCAGGTATTCCGGAAGTGAAAGTGTTAAAAAATATAATTAACACTTCATAAAGAATGAAGACCGCTGTCGTGGTGAAATGATGTTATCAGAATGCCAATTACTGCATATGAAACATAACGGTGATTTCTCAGGACGGCCGTTTGTTGATATAATTGTAACGGTGATTTCTGAACGGAAAGTGGAAATCAGTACCTTATCGTCTATTATTAACATGTATCAGTCAGATATACTGTTTTGTAACACCGTCTATTATTAACATGTATCAGTCAGATATACTGTTTTGTAACACTGTACTTTAAGCATGGATCAGTCACAGGCGTTCTGTTTTAAACAAGATAAGTAAATATCATTGATCAATGATATGGGAAATCCTTTTTGTCATATTTTTCAGCTGTGGCATATATTCATAGATGTCACATGAATTCCTCAAACGTATCATGTATAGGCTAAAACAACTCCTTGATTAGTGCTTCAGAATAATAGGTAAAACACGGATTTCCCGTAAATAGACATTTAAACCGTAAAGTAAATCATGTATTCAAATACCAGCCTGTAGCTATTAATAGAACATTATATGAAAGAAAACAAATTTTCTGTCCAGCACTATAGAATAATAATCATACATCACGATTAGTAGTACGTAGGTGGTATTTGATTAAAAATTAAGCAGACTATATTTACAATTTACAGAAATGTGTTATACGTGTTCCTACTGTTATATACAACCGTGACCAGACCTAGATGTTCTTAGCCACCAAGAAGCGTCATTTCGTATGATAAAATGATGGGTAATTTTCATGTCTTATTATAAAGTGATGAAAACAACTTACATTTAATGGGTTTTTTTGTTAATTATTCCATATGATTCAAATTTTCATTCTATTGGTATTTCAATATGATTAATAGCTGGAGATATATCAGCTAAATGTCAGACACTGCTCTACAAAGTGTATGAAAATTGAGAAATATCCATTCATTATTGTATCTCGGACAGAACACTCCAGTATATAGATATTAATATTCATTCATTGTTGATATCGTGAGTAAATTGTACTTCAATAGTACGTATTATCATTTGGCTGCCACATACATCGCTCAATATTATAATTGAAAGCATTTAAAGGCATAGTAGCAGTAGTGACATCCCAATGTCGTTTATTGATATATCGGGAATAAAATCAATATATTTAGAATTCTCAATCTATTTCATATTATATGTTCTGTTATTATTACGTCTAAGGGCCTCCAATTGTATGTCACGGTATAATGAACAAATCTTGAATGAGTTTCCACAATGTTTAATTATTGAATGCTGTAACGACTTCCCAAAGAGAAACTTTTATCTTTATTATTAGCTGTATTTATTGATTCAAACGATATCTGTAATATAGTTACACGGTTACTGCTGTTACACATGGAGAAGTTTAGACATTTTCACTTTTAGACCCGCCGTTTAATGTTTTATAATACATAAGGGAGGGAATGTACGAAAATAGCTAGCAAAGATCCGTCAATTTACACGTAAGCTATTCTAAAATCTCGAAATAAGTATGACCGAGCACAGAATATAGGCCTTTACGTGTGTTCGTAAATTTACAGCAGAGAACGAAAGAGAAAATACCACTGACAAATCAGAAGTCATAGAGAGAACACTGATTAGAGAGAATGACATATACATTGTATCAAGTATTCAAGTTATCGTGATGTTGGGATCGGGATTGGACGCCTATACAATGACGTGCCGAATTAACGTGAGTTGTAACCATTACATTGATTTCTAAACTCTTCCAAGTCACATAGTCAGGTGGAACGGTTAACAATTGTTTTTAAGAAATATCTTGTATTTGCTCGTAAATGTAGCACATGATACAATCTCAATATCTAATACACCTAAATTCCCCTGGCTTCGCCACCAGTTCATGATGTTTTCCTTTTTGTTTTGGTATATCCCCAGTTCCAATTATTTACTTGTCATTGATACTGTTGTGTTTATTTGTGAAATAGTTTATTATGACGTCAACTAAATTCCTGAAGGGTTACAAAATGAGCAAAATACTTCAAGAATTGCTCTATGAGTTTTGATTTGATACCATCATTACTTTGATATCAGCGTAAATTGTATTTAGATCGTTTTTCCTGTTTAAGTGTGTGAATAGTATGTTCGACTGTCCATATCGTATAAAGCAAATCAATTTAATGGTTCCAGACAGGTTTCGTAGGTCAAACTGCGTAGTTCGATTTTATCCCATCAGGAGTTGAAATGATGTTAAGAAACGTAGTGTTTTAATGAGGTGTCAGCACGATTGTAGCTTCCTCAATGTTCAGCCTGATATACTTTTTAGCGTATCAATGTATAAGCGTAAACAGAAGTGAAACATCTCTGTTTCAACCCATTTCACATGGTCCAATGTTATCTTATATACCATGTATTTATGTGCGATTACTTTGTATTTCGTCTGTATTTTATATATAAACTGTTATTTGTTATTAAACGTATAAGCGGGCCTTTTGGCTTGTCGGAGTGAAAGAAATAACTCTTTTATTTTTTCATTTTGGCAAATAATTGAACCTCATCAAGAGAAAAGTGACAAGATAAAATAAAAATACATAATTCAAAAACACGTACAACATAAGTACAGCCATGACTGATTGATCGTTTCCAATCTCCGAACGGTAAATCTTTTCAACATTTCTTTGAAGTTCGGGATGCTACTATGTTTGTGTACGCGACAAAAGCCGTGTCCCCTCATGTACAGCACTTGAACTGACCCAATGTGTATACATTCTGTAGTTTGGACCAAATGCACTATGTATTTTAGGGTTGAGGCTAATTTACTAGTTTCTTTGATCACTGACACAGTCAGTCGTGCCGACTAAACGGTTCGTCTTGACAGAGGGACAGGTAGTCGGTGAACTTGTTTCATAATTGTTGTAAAATAAATAAAGTTTAAAAAATTAAATAGTCGGTGAATTGGAGAACTTTGTTATACGTAGTCCTTTTAATGCATACTATTTGATGGGTAAGGGAAGGAATAATATAATGTAATAAAATAATATAATAATGTATAATAAACAACCTTTTTACATTTATGAATGCAATGTAATTTATATGAATAATATTAATCAATTGTTGTTGTGATATATCTATATTCGTTGACGTCATATATAAAAAAAAAAAAACACAACATGGAAATTAAATAGTGTAGTATGTCTGAACGTGTTTGCTGCGTCCGTGTATTGTCGACGTTCCACAATTTAAAGTTCCGAAAAAAGTAAACATAGCATACGTGTAGTGCTGCACGGGTCTGAGGTGCAATTAACTCTGACTCATGGTCACATGATTGTTTAGTCATCAGCTAGTGGGGACTTCCAATCCGATATACATATCAAAGCTTTTAAATTTCACGGATAATAGTAATGATTAGTCAAATTTAGATTACAATGATACGATGGCCGACAAGAGCCTGGCAAAAAGATGTGAATTTTCATATCTTTTTGTACCATGGTACTTTTTTTTATATGGTACACAAAGATATTAAAATTCAAATCTTTGTGTACCATGTAAAAGTGTACCATGGTACAAAAGATATGAAAGTTCTCTCTTGTCGGCCATCGTACAATGATCTGATGACACACACACATAAGGACATTACTGATAACTGGCCAGAACCAGTCATAGCAAGGCTGAGCCTGCCAGCACAAATATAGATCACACTGGAAAACCCCAGAACATTTTGATAGTGTCTATATTTAGAATCCGTGTATATATAAACACGACACTCTGTAACTACTACCAACATTTCCAGGTAATCCAACAATGTTTACACGGCGAGATACTTTTGACAGGCGGCCTCTTATATTATAGGAGTACATTTCCAGGATACTTCATACAGACACTGCAAGTGTTACTTTTCTTTAAAGTTTTAAATATTTTGTAATACGTTCAGTATGATAAATATAACCATTAGGTCTGAACTATAAAATAGTGTATTTTCTATGACTGGTGCTGGTATAAAGTGCGATAATATATAACTAACGTTAGGACACACTGTAATAGCGTTAATCCTCTCTCAAATACTACTTTCAAGTGCAAATTCTGTTTTCTTTTTAGGTCACACGAGCTTTGCGCAAGTGACCTATTCTGATCGCTTTCCGTCCGTCGTCGTCCGTGGTGCGTAGTGCGTAATTTTTTTACATTTTCAACTTCTTCTCAAGAACCAGTGAGTGGAATTTTTTCAAACTTGGTCAAAATCATCCTTGGTAGATGAGGCAACAAAATTGTAAAATTAGGATACCTACCCCAACCCCTGGGGCCAGGTCGGAGCCCCAAAGGGAAAATTTACAAATATTTCAAAAATCTTCTTTTCCAGACTCAGAGGTACTACAGCCATTTTCTCTGCATGGAAGGAAAAACCATCAGGGGCTTTATTTGAATTGTAAACTTCAGGACCCTCGATCTATCCGTTCTCTCTTGGGGAGGGGGTAAAGTTTACTATAGTTTATATAGGGAAATAGCACTTTTGGGTATATTTTGACAATTTTCTGAAGAAATTATTCTTATTTAGTGAGAATCATCCTTGAAGAAAGATGGTTTTGAAATTGTAAAATTGGGATTCTACCCCAACCCTAGAGGCCAGGGCGGGGCCACAAAGGGATAATTAACCATTTTTTCAAAACATTTTCTCTCCAGATTCAAAGGTACTACAGTCAATTTCAGTGCTTGGACAGAAAGATCATCAGGAACTTTATTTGAATTGTAAACTTCAGGACCCTCGAGCTATCCGTTCTCTCTTGGGGAGGGGGTAAAATTTACTATAGTTTATATAGGGAAATAGCACTTTTGGGTATATTTTGACAATTTTCTGTAGAAATTATTCTTATTTAGTGAGAATCATCCTTGGAGAAAGATGGTTTTCAAATTGTAAAATTGGGATTCTACCCCAACCCTAGAGGCCAGGGCGAGGCCACAAAGGGATAATTAACCAATTGTTCAAAACATTTTCTCTCCAGACTCAAAGGTACTACAGTCATTTTCAGTGCTTGGACAGAAAGATCATCCGGAACTTTATTTGAATTGTCAATTTCAGGACCCTCGAGCTATCCGTTCTCTCTTGGGGAGGGCGTAAAATTTACTATAGTTTATTTAGGGAAATAGCACTTTTGGGTATATTTTGACAATTTTCTGTAGAAATTATTCTTATTTAGTGAGAATCATCCTTGGAGAAAGATGGTTTTCAAATTGTAAAATATGGATTCTACCCCAACCCTAGAGGCCAGGGCGGGGCCCCAAAGGGAGAATTAACCATTTTTTCAAAAGAAATCCTTTCCAGAATCAGAAGGACAACAGTCAAGTTCAATGCTTGGATAGAAAGATCATCAGGAGCGTTATTGAAATTGTCAATTTCAGGACCCCCAAGCCATTCTTTCCGCCTTAGGGAGGGGGTAAAGTTAACCATAGTTTATATAGGGAAATAACACTTTTGAGTATATTTTATCCATTTTCAGCAAAAAATTACTCAAACTTGGTCAGAATCATCTTTGGTCAATGAGGGTATTACATTGTAAAATTGGGATTCCTGCTTTATCCCCAGGGGCTAGGGTGGGGCCCTAAAGGGAATATTTATCAATATTTTAAAATTCTTATCCTTTGATGACATGACAAGTATTGTATTTCACTTAGTTTATATGTTGATTTCCACATTATAACTAAAAAATAAAATAAAGCTACCAAAGTTTGTGTATAAAATAACTCTTTGCTATTATATATTCCAAATTGGACAACAACATTTCTTGAAGAACTGCATGTTCGTATTTGTTTCTTATTATTCTGTTTTAAACATAGGCTATCATAATTTATAACTTGTACATATTGTTTACGATACCTTATATAACGTTTGCACTTAAATTTACAGGATAATACGCAACAAAAACATGATGGGTGGATCAACCAACAATGTTGCAAACAATTCATCGATTTATCGCCATGGACTTTTTTTGTGTAAACCATTCAATGTGATAATCTTAATCTATGGGGTATTTGAGAGATACAAGGTAAGTTTGCAGTGTTGCCCACATACTATGAATCGCACTACCGAATTGTTGATCAAATAATATTTTTTCTGCCCTTTTGAACCGTTTCCGAACATAAATCATGGTAAACATATTATATAATAAGCACTGCAAGTTCTTTCAAAAATAAATTTGGCCAGCAACCTGTAAAAGTAGAAATTTTCGCAAGTGGGAATGATAAACACATCTCGGTGTGCAAATTATCGCCACGACATTAGTTTTGATATATGTATATCTTTATAATTCATATATTTGCGTGTAGACATTTACTTTACTCAATACGCGAAACTAGCGAGTATTGCCATATCGTGAACATTTCTACTTTTACAAATATAACCATATTGAACCATTTTACATCGGTATTATTTCAGCTATATAATAATGCCAGTGTACAGTGAAGTCTTTACCAATAAAACATTGAGAGTAGGTACCCATATACAATAGATGAGTGATATTATATAACGTTGTTGTATATGCAATAATATTATATAGATTTCATAAGTAAAACCGACAGTATGATCCAATTATTGACACTTGATCCTAACAAACAAATATTGGCTGGATACGTATTTCTTAAATATATATGAGCATTGAAACAATAACGAAAGTGCAGACAAAAGAATTTGCAGAATTCATCATAAGTGTTTCTGGATTGTACATGTATATATATGATAGAAATATCCAACCGAAGCGTATAGAATAATGGGCGAAAACCGAGGCTTGCCAAGGTTTTTGAACTCAAATTGTTTACCCGAGAGTAGGACATTTCTATCATACAAGAGTTATGTTATACCCGAGAGTAGGACATTTCTATCATACAATAGTTATGGTATACCCGAGAGTAGGATATTTCTATTATACAATAGTATGTTATACCCGAGAGTAGGACATTTCTATCATACAATAGTTATGTTATTCCCGAGAGTAGGACATTCCTATCATACAATAGTTTTGTTATACCCGAGAGTAGGCCATTTCTATCATAAAATAGTTATGTTATACTCGAGAGTAGGACATTCCTATCATACAATAGTTATGGGATACCCGAGAGTAGGCCATTTCTATCATAAAATAGTATGTTATACCCGAGAGAAGGAAATTTCTATCATACAATAGGTATGTTATACCCGAGACTAGGACATTTCTATCATAAAATAGTATGTTATCCCCGAGATTAGGACAATTCTATCATACAATAGTTTTGTTATCCCCGAGAGTAGGCCATTTCTATCATACAATAGGTATGTTATACCCGAGAGTAGGACATTTCTATCATACAATAGTTATACCTGAGTAATATTGTTACATTGCTTACCACTTTATTTGATTGACCAAAATCAATTAAATTGGCGTTAAACTTGCCGCGGCATGATGTCATCTAATTGTCTTTGCACTGTGACGTCATTCCCATTTAAGATAGATTGATCTAAAACGTTTTCTGCATTGTGAGCAAATTATATCTTTTATGGATGGCTATGTAAGTAAAATCTAAATTCAGTCATAATGTAAGCGATCAACAGATTGGTATTGCATGCTACAGTTAATTAAAAATTACAATTTACTTATATTTATTTTCAGAAAATATGACGATAAATCCGCCTGTTGAAGGGTGTTATTTGTTCCGAAATCAATCATCAGGAAACGAATCTATGAAATCAAAGATGGCCGACCAGTCACGTCTGGCAAGTTTCTATTCATAACCTCGTATCGCCAATTCAATGTATGACAAGGAAACGCAACTAGAACAACACCAGGCTGAACACGTTTCAAGTCCAGAAGATACAGCTCCTTCGGACGAGACACAGACAGTAGAATCACGTGATCAAAGTGGCAGAGGAAACATGTATAATACAAATCATGATTCTATTAGTCATACTAGGACCAACGAAACGTCGACTGGAACACTAGAGACAGTCCCACCGAAGTATCAGCAGTTCTCTGTACTCGCCACCCGTCTTAACTCATATAGACACTGGCCAAAGCATCTCAAACAACGTCCCGAGGACTTGGCAAAAGCTGGTCTCTTTTATGAAGGTAAGGATAATATCGGAAACCTTGAACTGTGCACTTCAATGTAAAAACCATCGAATATATAGTTAATTATCAATTCCTTTTGGATCGATAACTCACACTGACCCTATTATTATGCATTTCTAAGTGATAAATTATATATTCCAAAGTCTGTGAAGTTAAGAAATAATGTTAATAGGCAGCTCTGATCTTTTGATTTCCAATATTGTTACTGATTTTTCTTTTTGTCTTGACACACAGGAAAAAACGACTACGTAAGATGCTTCCACTGCGCAGGGGGAATGCGTGAATGGGACCCGGAAGATGAACCTTTTTATGAGCATGCGCGGTGGTTCCCTTTTTGTCCATTCATGAAACTGATCAAGGGCGACAAGTACATAATGGGTGTCCAGTCAGGAACAATCCAACCACCTGATGTACAGGTGAATATATAGACATTAACGGTTGTACCAATTTATACCAAAGCTGTTTCAAATAGTTATATCAGCTTAACGCAATGCGATTCATGTCTTTACAATGTAATAAGAAGGCAAATAAAACAACATATTCAAATGAACATACATATATTTACATTCAAATTAATTATATCACGAACATATATTTCTAGCAAGCTTCAATTCTAAAGGCTGTTTCAGAAATAAGCAAGAATCGCGTGTAAATTAGGGGTTCTTATAGTTCAGAATATTGTTAAGTTCTCTGCATCCGATATATTAGAACTTGATTTATTTTGAACGATGTCTAAATTCTAGCTTGCTGGTTTAGAGAACAATTAATGAATGTTTGATAAAAAAAAAAAAAAAATTCAAAGCTGTAGTGCATACTTGTCAAATAGAGTTCTTATTACTCATTATGTTATTTTGTTTGTAGCGCGATGAGTCCAGACAAGAGATCGATATGTTTGAACATCCAGCTGTACTCAGCGTCATGGAACTGGGCTTCAGTAAAGACATTCTGACAAAGGTCATTACAGTGTACAGGAAACGTCACGGTATGTATACCTTCTGTACAACTATTTATGTCAATACTGGTGTTAACTAAATAGTTATTATTCTCATTTGTATTTTCAATATCATGTAAATAAAATGTAATAATTTGATATTTTAACCTTAATATTTTAAATCAAATACTTTAAACAAAATTATGTGATTTTTGAAAGAAAACATATCTGAATGTCAGTTTGAATAACACTTAATGCATATATTTCTTAAAACGAATTTTTGACCATATATCTATTATCATTGGTTCACTTTACAGGCACGGATTTATGTGCTGAGAAGCTTTTGCATATCGTCTGGGAAATAGAAGAAAATTATGACATGGATGTCATCCCAGAAGACGACATTATAGAAACCAAACAGGCCAATCATAATCAAGAGGAAAGGGAATGTGAAAGAACATGTGAAGATACGGAACTCACGAAGAAAGATGAAATTACGAAAACGAAAGGTAATGAAAAAAGATATAGAAATTTCATGAAAATATGCTTCAGGATTTTTCATGGAAAACTTAATGCTACGACTGTGTGAACAAATTATAATCTACAATACTAGAAATTCTACTCTTCACGTGGTTACGGACTATTGCATAGAACATCTGCGACCATAACCATACAGTTTACGTTTGGTAAATATATGAACACGGTCTCGGAACGATATCCAATTATATGGGACTATATGGAAGCCATCTCCATTTCGAATAAATGAAAATGGGAACTTTTACGAATTTGTAGTGATTGTTTCCTTAACTTAATGTTTTATTTGTTTTACAGGTATTGATGAGCTAACAGAGGAAAATCGAGAACTTCGTGAACAGAAGATATGTAAGGTGTGTCTCGACGAGGAGGCTAGTATTGTGTTCTTGCCTTGTGGACATTTGGTCACGTGCCCTATGTGTGCCTCGGCCTTACGGAAGTGTCCAGTTTGTCGGACTTACATCAGGGGCACGGTCAAGGCTATCATATCGTAAGCAAATGTGTACGACCGAACAACATTCAGCTCAAAAATTGCGCAAGCGAGCATTACCTACAGCAAAATTGAACATGTGAGCAATACGAAACACATTCATCGTCAGATCGGAATGCAGATGATCACAGCTGACCTTGAATGTACCGTTACATGATATATTGCCGACTTGTTCATTATACTGGGCAATCATCACCCACTCACACTGTACAAAATCTGTATTTTTCAAAAGTTCATTTTCTGATATCCAAATTTTGTAAATCTTCCATGAGATCAACATTTTGTTGATACAACTACATTTCTGTTAGAGCTTTTCCATAATAAATCATGTGAAGGAGGCGAGTGGCACGTGTATTTAAACACTATTGTTGTAGTGTTAAATCCGAAACTCCCTACCATTCCATATATTGAATCAGTTTCAGCATTTGATGATTGATAGACCTCTTGAGAATAGCCTCTCACCACTCCCAAAGAGTATATCCTGAAACAGCCCTTAGTGAATCTTTGTTCAAAGAAAACCTATTTTTCTTTACCAAATACAGCTAGCAGACAATATGTCTTAATATGATAGTTCTGATTAATATATAAATGTTAACATTTTCAGGAAACCAATCTTTTGTCTATCATACAATTTTATTCAGCATTGTCAGTTAATTCAGCATTGTCGGTTCATTCAGCATCGTCGGTTCATTCAGCATCGTCAGTTTATTCAGCATTGTCAGTTCATTCAGCATTGTCAGTTTATTCAGCATTGTCAGTTTATTCAGCATTGTCGTTTCATTCAGCATTGTAGGTGCTCTTTTTGTGCAGAACTTAATTTTTTTTTTGTAATTTCTTTTATAAATTTATTTAAGATGAGATTTATGCTTGTTAAAAAAATATATTTGAAAATGAATTAAAAACACATTACACTTGTTGTTTTCTTTCCTTATTGTCTTTACAATCTTATATTGTTTAATGTTTAAACCTACACTATTGATAACCATACATAGATCTCTACCATCCACACGAAGTCTCGTATATAATCTCTATATCTTTACATATTGGACAATGTGTAAAACACAGTAACATGTTTCCTACACAATCTGTTACATCCACAGATCTCCGTCTCACACACATAACAGATATGCTCCCTCAACATTTAAGAAAGAAAATATCAAAAAGAAAAGTTGTTTTTATAAAGCATTGGTAGGAAGCAGCATTGACCGTTTCCGATGATGTGACTACTGTTGCTACAATAGGAGACACAGCTGATGCTGCGATATTTGCTGCAGCTGCACTTGGATCCCCTGCAGCAGCCGCTGTCTGTAGGGGAAGGGTACCATCTACACCCTGGGGCACCTCTCCTGTTGCTTGAGTGGGGAGAGTAAAGTTCATTGGGAGGTTAGGGAGGGGAGCAGGGGTTTGAATAGACATCGGCAGAGTAGCTCCCGGGGAAAACGCAGCACTTGGTGGTGCGGGACTGCCCCTTCCTGGTGGTGACATTGTACTGCTGGTAGTCACACCTGCAGNCCAACCACCTGATGTACAGGTGAATATATAGACATTAACGGTTGTACCAATTTATACCAAAGCTGTTTCAAATAGTTATATCAGCTTAACGCAATGCGATTCATGTCTTTACAATGTAATAAGAAGGCAAATAAAACAACATATTCAAATGAACATACATATATTTACATTCAAATTAATTATATCACGAACATATATTTCTAGCAAGCTTCAATTCTAAAGGCTGTTTCAGAAATAAGCAAGAATCGCGTGTAAATTAGGGGTTCTTATAGTTCAGAATATTGTTAAGTTCTCTGCATCCGATATATTAGAACTTGATTTATTTTGAACGATGTCTAAATTCTAGCTTGCTGGTTTAGAGAACAATTAATGAATGTTTGATAAAAAAAAAAAAAAAATTCAAAGCTGTAGTGCATACTTGTCAAATAGAGTTCTTATTACTCATTATGTTATTTTGTTTGTAGCGCGATGAGTCCAGACAAGAGATCGATATGTTTGAACATCCAGCTGTACTCAGCGTCATGGAACTGGGCTTCAGTAAAGACATTCTGACAAAGGTCATTACAGTGTACAGGAAACGTCACGGTATGTATACCTTCTGTACAACTATTTATGTCAATACTGGTGTTAACTAAATAGTTATTATTCTCATTTGTATTTTCAATATCATGTAAATAAAATGTAATAATTTGATATTTTAACCTTAATATTTTAAATCAAATACTTTAAACAAAATTATGTGATTTTTGAAAGAAAACATATCTGAATGTCAGTTTGAATAACACTTAATGCATATATTTCTTAAAACGAATTTTTGACCATATATCTATTATCATTGGTTCACTTTACAGGCACGGATTTATGTGCTGAGAAGCTTTTGCATATCGTCTGGGAAATAGAAGAAAATTATGACATGGATGTCATCCCAGAAGACGACATTATAGAAACCAAACAGGCCAATCATAATCAAGAGGAAAGGGAATGTGAAAGAACATGTGAAGATACGGAACTCACGAAGAAAGATGAAATTACGAAAACGAAAGGTAATGAAAAAAGATATAGAAATTTCATGAAAATATGCTTCAGGATTTTTCATGGAAAACTTAATGCTACGACTGTGTGAACAAATTATAATCTACAATACTAGAAATTCTACTCTTCACGTGGTTACGGACTATTGCATAGAACATCTGCGACCATAACCATACAGTTTACGTTTGGTAAATATATGAACACGGTCTCGGAACGATATCCAATTATATGGGACTATATGGAAGCCATCTCCATTTCGAATAAATGAAAATGGGAACTTTTACGAATTTGTAGTGATTGTTTCCTTAACTTAATGTTTTATTTGTTTTACAGGTATTGATGAGCTAACAGAGGAAAATCGAGAACTTCGTGAACAGAAGATATGTAAGGTGTGTCTCGACGAGGAGGCTAGTATTGTGTTCTTGCCTTGTGGACATTTGGTCACGTGCCCTATGTGTGCCTCGGCCTTACGGAAGTGTCCAGTTTGTCGGACTTACATCAGGGGCACGGTCAAGGCTATCATATCGTAAGCAAATGTGTACGACCGAACAACATTCAGCTCAAAAATTGCGCAAGCGAGCATTACCTACAGCAAAATTGAACATGTGAGCAATACGAAACACATTCATCGTCAGATCGGAATGCAGATGATCACAGCTGACCTTGAATGTACCGTTACATGATATATTGCCGACTTGTTCATTATACTGGGCAATCATCACCCACTCACACTGTACAAAATCTGTATTTTTCAAAAGTTCATTTTCTGATATCCAAATTTTGTAAATCTTCCATGAGATCAACATTTTGTTGATACAACTACATTTCTGTTAGAGCTTTTCCATAATAAATCATGTGAAGGAGGCGAGTGGCACGTGTATTTAAACACTATTGTTGTAGTGTTAAATCCGAAACTCCCTACCATTCCATATATTGAATCAGTTTCAGCATTTGATGATTGATAGACCTCTTGAGAATAGCCTCTCACCACTCCCAAAGAGTATATCCTGAAACAGCCCTTAGTGAATCTTTGTTCAAAGAAAACCTATTTTTCTTTACCAAATACAGCTAGCAGACAATATGTCTTAATATGATAGTTCTGATTAATATATAAATGTTAACATTTTCAGGAAACCAATCTTTTGTCTATCATACAATTTTATTCAGCATTGTCAGTTAATTCAGCATTGTCGGTTCATTCAGCATCGTCGGTTCATTCAGCATCGTCAGTTTATTCAGCATTGTCAGTTCATTCAGCATTGTCAGTTTATTCAGCATTGTCAGTTTATTCAGCATTGTCGTTTCATTCAGCATTGTAGGTGCTCTTTTTGTGCAGAACTTAATTTTTTTTTTGTAATTTCTTTTATAAATTTATTTAAGATGAGATTTATGCTTGTTAAAAAAATATATTTGAAAATGAATTAAAAACACATTACACTTGTTGTTTTCTTTCCTTATTGTCTTTACAATCTTATATTGTTTAATGTTTAAACCTACACTATTGATAACCATACATAGATCTCTACCATCCACACGAAGTCTCGTATATAATCTCTATATCTTTACATATTGGACAATGTGTAAAACACAGTAACATGTTTCCTACACAATCTGTTACATCCACAGATCTCCGTCTCACACACATAACAGATATGCTCCCTCAACATTTAAGAAAGAAAATATCAAAAAGAAAAGTTGTTTTTATAAAGCATTGGTAGGAAGCAGCATTGACCGTTTCCGATGATGTGACTACTGTTGCTACAATAGGAGACACAGCTGATGCTGCGATATTTGCTGCAGCTGCACTTGGATCCCCTGCAGCAGCCGCTGTCTGTAGGGGAAGGGTACCATCTACACCCTGGGGCACCTCTCCTGTTGCTTGAGTGGGGAGAGTAAAGTTCATTGGGAGGTTAGGGAGGGGAGCAGGGGTTTGAATAGACATCGGCAGAGTAGCTCCCGGGGAAAACGCAGCACTTGGTGGTGCGGGACTGCCCCTTCCTGGTGGTGACATTGTACTGCTGGTAGTCACACCTGCAGCAAACACACAAGAACAAGATAATGCCAGTTATAACACATCAAATACCTGAAGATAAAACAACCCTTTCTCGAATAAATAGACATCAAGAGTGTGTGTATATTTTACTCATTCTAAGATGTGATGTAGTTTATTTGTATTGTGAGGCATTGGCACATCCAGTTAGGATTATGATGTAATTTACCATTGGGGTGAGGGAGGCATCTGTATTAATATATTAATTTACTAGTTGTGGGGTTGAATCCATATTTGCCTACCAATCTTTATATCAAATATTTTTGCTAATTTTATGGGTGTTGGGGTCATCGAAAAAGTGCCTCCCACCCCTCCCTTATGGTTAATTAGTGAACAGCTCTTACCCATTTATCAGGTATCTATTAGTATCAATCACATTATTTCCTGATATGTCAGATACTGACACGTACCTGTGAAGCAATCAACAAAACGTCCATTAGGTTAGTTTATTGATATACAATCTGTAACTTACCTGGGAGAGTAGGTAACGATGACATGGCTGGAAGTGCACCAGGCTGCATCCCCGGCAGCGACATCGGCATGGTAAAGGGAGGTAATGATGATAAGTTAGGCATTCCCGATAAGTTAGGTATTCCTGCTAAATTAGGCATTGTTGTTGCTGGTACTGAAATAGGTACAAATAAAAAAAGTTTCTATGTAAAGCATGAACAAGTGAAAACAGTCTTTCAATTTTTGTAACATATTTTAGCTATATAATTTAGTGGTAATAATTGTAAAGCCAGGGATGTACGTAAGAGGCAATGAAATACAGCTACTCCATAACTGCCGTTTGTTCCTTCAGAGAAGGTCAGGGTTACCTATAGGTAGGTATATAGTGAGTTTTTTTTAAATTATAGGTGTTAAGGTTATTTGGTTTTGGTTCCACAGATTTATCAAAACACCCTATAAATTATACCATAAGCTTACAAGTGATTCCCTCTGACGAAAGATCAGACGTTTACAGTAGGTTCAGTGATACCCCCCACCTCAATAACTGATGACATTTTATAGATTCGGTTAAGTGATGCCCAGTAAAGGGTTTCTAGGGTAAATGAATTAAGTAAAATGTGTTTATTTACATGTGATGCCCCCGCCGGTTGACGAGAAGTTTGGTAATGGTGTTGGCTGAAAAGGTAACCCATGACCAGCACCACTTTCACTTGCAGGGATCACCGGTGTGGTCGTTTACCTAATCAATGACATTAATAAATATCTTGTTTTACATTAAATCACTGGATACTGCAAAGAGTTTATGTTTCATTTTCATGGCCTGAAAGTTATTCTGAATTTATGCAAAACTTAAATTTCACGACTTTTTCGCTTATTTAGTTATTAAGCAAAGTATCGCAAGAACTTAAACCCTTCGTACCTTTCTAAGAACAAGAGCTGTTGGAGTATAGCATAGCTCGCCTATTGGTGATATATGTTGTAAGATAGCAAATAGCAATAGAAACAAATGTACAGTAAAACTTTACTATACTGCCCGTCATTTCATTTACCACCTCACCTCACCTCAACATATGTTCAGGTCCCTTAATTATGTTTTTTCTTAATAATTCCTTTTACGTTTCCCTCAATTTATTGCCAATCCCCTTTATAATGCCACCATTTCTTTGAACAAATGATGGCAATAAAACAAGGTTTTGCTGTACCTTAACATGTAAGAAGAGATGACCAGCCACTCTGAAATAGTCATCAGCGTATTAATGGTGGTGACCGATTCAACACTGCACGAAACAAACTCGCCCAAAAACTTTAACCTTTTCCAACTAACCAGTTCTGGCCCCTAAAATAATCAAAATATAATTCAGAACATTGCTTACGTTCCATATAAATACTTCATCTTTAAAATAGACAACAGCCTATTGATGGTGGTTGTCCAACACTTTACAAAAAAAAATTGCCCAAAAACCTTAACCTCAAGCTTACCCAAAACCTTTAACTAAGTCCAATTAAGTTTTTTGGCCCCTAAAATATGAAAACATGGTTCAGCACATTGTTTACACTCCATATCAATACTTCAACCTTATAATAGACAACAGCTTATTGATGGTGGTTGTCCAACACGTCACAAACTAGAGCACCGCAAACGGATGCATAATACGCCCGTCTGGCCCTATCCAATTATTTTTTGTTTGTTTGATATTTAAAGTAGCTGGTAGCTGGTGTCATGTCTATGTGATAAAAATGGTTGCACTGACGCTTTTGTTACCAAGAGTGATTGTCATTACTGTAATGTTCACATTTATGTAATTGGTTCTTTGCTAATGTATTGCCTAATGCCTCATAATCAGGGCATGCAGTAGACCCTTAATTTGATTTGACTTGTGGGTTTATAGGGACATGTCGTCTACCATATTTGGCTACGTGCAAGTGTATATACATATTGAATCTGAGTAGATTCTAAAAAAAGTTATGCTTAAAATTATCTTCGTGTGAAATGAGTAATTGTCTTAATTCAGAATTCTATTTTTTTTTTTCAGTCTATACAAAATATGTGTGTTTCCTGTTGCATTTTGGGTTGATTCTGGCAATGTGTAATTTATTATTATTGTTCAGTACGTAAGTCGTTTTCAATATCTTTGAATTGGGGATGGTAGGCAAACAGGAAACAAACATATTTTATATTAGTTTTATAGACATGCCAGTTTTATTGATGGAAGTAAAACAATCCAGCAGGTAGAAACTGGCAATTGTCAATTAAACCACAAATTCTCACAATAGTAGAAAATTGATAATGACATGAATAGGAGTTGTATTGTCACCATCGGCAATTCGACTTCACTGGATCCAAAGATAAATGGGAATGGGAAATGTAGGACAAATTCAGAATCTGCCATCTTGATTATCAGACCATTGTAAAGTCTTGGCCAAACATTTCTTGGACTTGGTAATAATTGTCCCAAAAGTAAAGTCCAAAATTTACAAAAACAGGAATTATTTTCGCAAATTAAATCCATATTGTCCTTCTTAGACCCCACATGGAAATCCATGCTACAAATTAGGAAAATAACACATGATCTGACTGAACTGTAGACCACTGAAGAACTTGCACCAAAACTTTAATCGAGAAATTGCGCGAGAACAGTAAAGTCCAAAACACGTCCAAAATTTCCAAAAATAGAAATTATTTTCTGAAATTTAATCCCACATGAACATCCATGCAAAAAATTAGGACAAAAACACTTGATCTAACTGAACTGTAGACCACTGAAGAAACTTGCACCAAAACTTTAACCAAACAGCTGATGATGGTGTGCTTAACAAAAAGAAGTTATTTAGCTTACAGCTGCTACAAACTCTGTTACGATGTGGACGGTTAATAGGACTTTTTTATTTTCATTTGTATTAAAGGTTTAAATAGGTATACAATTACAATGTAACTGCCAAAACATCACCGATTAAGAAATACACACCATGACTGGCATTTTCTAGACATATGCTCTTTCACACACTACTTTAGGAAGAAGGTCGAAAACATATTATACTGCATCACGTACATTTTTTCATTAAGTCATTGCAAGAGACACGCGATGATTTATAAACGTTGAATGCACGATTGAAATTAAATTTTAAAAAATCCTAAAGGTCAGCGTATCTACCCTTTCCTCACAACACACATGGGTCACCTTGAACGGAACACCGAATCATAGCCTGACGTCACGCGTCGGACCAACTAACACTTGGCGATTAAGACAATGATTGATTCTCTTTCGATTTAATACACCATTCATGATCCAAGGGTAATATTTGGTTTGTTAAGAGAAACACAAAATAGTTCTTGAACAAATAAGATGTTGTTTTAGTATTTTGTTAAATATAGATCATAACGCATGTAATAGCATTCCTTTATAGTTCAAATACTACTGAGTAACATCATGACCCGTCCTAATCGTGACCTGCGACCAGCTGGCAGTCGGTACCCGTACAAATACCTAAGAAATTTTACTTGAAGAAAATACATAAAGCATTCACGACATGATACTGTATAGCGCTTTAAATTCGCGGGGTTACTTTTTCGCGGTTTCGTATTCATCACAATGTCATATTCGCGCCCGAATCCAATGTGTCGTGCAAAGTGTTTTTGAGTCTCATCTTTTAAGGGTTAAACCTCGTAATACAGGTAAACCGTTTGAAAATACCGATCCCGAGCGTCGCCATCTGCCAGTGACTTCACTCGAAAGAAAATCAAATGTGTTTGTTCTTTTGTAGGAGTTAACTGTAATCAATTAACCACCTACTGTGTACATATAGATATGTTGGGGCCACTTATATGTAAGTGTTGTTTTTACGTGGACTGCTCAGTTGTCCGGTGATAATCTGATTTGAGTTCGTTTAAGCTTGCATAACAGCGTTTGGTTATAAGTATTTTCAATATGTTGTGATAAGGTCTAAAAGTGGTTAACATTTTCGATAATTTAGCTGGTGCTAAGAATTCGCGGATATAAGTCAAAGCGTGAATAAAGCGAAATTAAAACCGCTGCGAAATATAACCGCTATTCCGTAGCTTTTATTATTATTCCGACAATTTTTAATGTATAGCAATGAATGAAGAGATATTGGCTCAAAATTGTAAAAATAATTCTATACCGAGGAATTATACTTAGTGGACAAAACACATTCCATTTAATTTTATCGCGAGTAGGAAAAGAGCGGCAAATATTTCATTTAAACATAAATATACTTATAACATCCATTTAAAATACAATTGTTGCAGTTTTCAGTATCGCCTTATTCCATTTCAATAATTAAAATGTGTCAATATTCTTCCATTCTACACAGCTAGCTGTCCAACTGATCGTGGCTACACTTACAGCGCCTCCCTTGACTGGTGTTACAAGTTATTTACAGGACTAACAAAGAACGTTCAAACTGCGAGTAGCTATTGTAAACAAGCTGGCGCACGTCTGCTCAGAGTCAACTCAGTGGAAAAGCAGCTACACATGACTGACTTTCTAAGAAAGTTTTATTAAAGATGCAGCTACACATGACTGACTTTCGAAGTAAGTTTTATTAAAGTGGCAGCTACACATGATTGACTTTCTAAGTAAGTTTTACTAAAGAGGCAGCTACACATGACTGACTTTTAAGTAAGTTTTACTAACGAGGCAGCTACACATGACTGACTTTCTAGGTAAGTTTTACTCATCTATAAGAGTCATATTGAAATCAATAACAACCAGATTGTTTTGTAATAATTCGTTCGACAAAGTATTGCATAGCCATACTGATGTTAACTCATATTTAATTTTACTGTCGTGAATTTTGTATGTGTTGTCACACACCTTCACAACATGTAGTTGAGAACTGCTCTCAGGTCCCAAAAACTATTAGAGTATGCGGAGGAAAATCACTCACGTGTGTTCTTGTTGAAGTCAGGATGTTCAATGTTGTCGGCGCGGTTATTAGTCTAATGGAGATAACTCTCCCCAAAATTCACCACACTCTTCCCCGTTTTATGAAGGCCTCCTCTTGAAGTTGGAAGCTGCTGATCAGGAATCATGGATGAGGTGGTCATTCTTGAGCATCAGATTTGGATCAGGTGTTGTTTGTGATGCTGGAGATGACTGTTCTCTGGTGGAGTTTGACAAGGTCGGGTCACTTCTTTAGCATAAGGGACCCCTATAAGGAACACAGTTTTACCGTGCCCTCGAGTGGAAGTCCTGTTGAAGGGCTTATCTTTACTGTGCCCTCCTCCAAGATACAGGACCATTAAGATATAAACTTTATGGTTGGGCATAGGCATACCGTGTCCCTGCCAGGTACTCAGACATAGTATTTGGATACTATGTCTGAAGTTTCAAAAGTGCAGGAACACCCTCCACTTGTATGCTTACTGTGACAGGACGTTGATAACACAATCCAATCCCTAATCAGATAACCGCTCAAGGGCCCGATCCCTCGCAGTTTCCGGAGACGGTTGAGAGGAAAACCCCTCTGTCTCTAGAGACCCGGAGGCTGCCTGCGACGCAGAGAATCGTCTCTTTCTGAACTTCCGTATTGATAACTGACTTAAATAGAGCTTCTGCTTAAAAGCTGTCTCCAAACTGTACAATGTGATCCCATTTACCTGGGTCACAAAAATACACAGGGATTTTTACTGTCCTTGCTCTTATTACTAGACATCAGAACACAACAGTGCCGTGAAATTTATCTGCTATGAAACTGTTGCCTAGTCACCCCAAATGCCAGTTCAGTCAACTTTTGGGGTGCTCTAGTCTAGATCTGCAGGACACCCATTGTGTTTCTATACTTGTTCTGTTGTTATCCCTGGGCTAACTTAAGTGCCTCATGTAACTCCTGGTCATCCAGTTCATCCTTGTCGTTATCTGATGAATCACATTTAGTTTGAAACATTTGCTGACGGAGGAACACAAGTTACCGTTACCTCTTCCCCGTCAAATGGAAATGAGTCAGATTTTGTTTTTCCCGCCTCACCTCCTTCAATTTTGAGCCCCACTGTTTGCGGTACATGTATATGTTTATTTTGTTTAGGACCAGGAGTACGGGCCTTGCTTGTCAACGGAACCATACTGTTCACGTCCTCTTCAAACCGTTCACAGTTAGCTTCCGCTGGACGACTGTTCAGTCGCTCTTCCTAGACCCTCACTAGCCTCTGGGGAGCTGAGGAATGACCTCTTTTGGCCCAGTAGCTATGATGTTCCCGGAGGTACTCTGGCCTTTTCCAGGAATTATGTCTGCTGTATAACAGCTCCGGGCTTCCCTGTGGAGATAAAATTTCACCTCTACATGTTATTTAACTTCAAATTTCTGTCCTTCTGTCATTATGACGGACTTGGCAGTGTCATTCATCTCTCTCATGTGGAGTGTTGGGCACCGGGCGGCACTACCGAACCGGCAATCATGACTCCCTTGGGATGTTGTGTGGGTTTAATCGTGGACATATCCCCATTAGGTCTAGCCCAGTCAACCGGACAGTGCCCTATAGTGTTTGGTGGTATTGTTACATTTTGGGCTCACTTAACAGTGGACGATGTCATCTGCTCCTCCACCGGCGACGTTATAGGTATCATCAGATTACCAATAAACAGGACGCCTGCATCTAAGTCAATGACATATAGTTGTTCCTTGACAGGAAGTCCACCCCACACAACATGTTGGCCATCATGGAGGCATCACATACACATACGGTCCAATGTATTTTGGTATTTCCTATTCCGATTTGTAAGTCTTTTATTTCCCATACTATCTCTAAATTGCTGGTACACACCCGGAGCCTCACTCGTTTCCCAAGCACTAGTGGCCCCTCGAGCCCATCCACCAGCTCCCGCTTAATTAGCGTCATCGTGGCCAATGTATCAACGACAGCCCGAATTGGAGTTCCATTTCAGGTTAGTGGTATGGTAATACTACTTCCATCTGAGACCGCAAGCTTCACCTCCGTCAAAATATGGAATCCTTTCTAGGCGCGGGGGATGGATACCTTGATCTGTCCGCCGTGTCTCTAAATGGTTCCGGGGACGCAGATGGAGACCTCGGATGGAACGCCTGTATCTTCCGTCCTCTGTCGTTACCCCAACTGGCGGTACTGTTGTTGCCTCTCCCCGGTTTCCAGGGGTCCCGACTAGGTTGATCTTGACCTCGACCTGGTGACCATGTGCCAGGTGACTCCCTATGATATCCGTGTGACATGTTGCGGTTTCGCTGGGCACCTTGTCCTGAGTATGGGGACCGTATCTCGGCGTGGACCTTCATATCTATTACGCCCGTTGTCCTGGGGTGGACGAGGGTACTGAGCCCTAGCATGATAATCTGGTGGTCGGTTCCCTTCATAGTTTTGAGGGGAACCTCGGTCGCGTTTTGGAGAACGGTAGTCTCCTCTACTTTGTCATCTCCCGACTTAGTGCCCTCAGCAAATTCCACCTGCCTACATGTACTAGGGTAACGTGGTGCGCGAGAACCAAACAGAGCACGCTGATTGGCCACGGAGGCCTTTTAGAGCTTTGTGAACCGTGTTAGGATTCCTCTTTATGGCTCTCTGCGCCGCCATCTTCTCGCAACAGCCTTTACGGAACGCATCTGGAGCGATCTGATTCCTGGTTGTGGTGTCGGAATGCGCAAAGCCATCTCCAATTATGGTTTGAATCCGATGGGCAAATTCTGCTAAGTTCTCAGTCTCCTCTTGTTTAGTGAAGTGCAGTTCTCTGCGGGACCGTTCCATCATCTTCTTCTTGAGCTTAGTGAACCCAAGAGTTCGCGGAAGTTTGTCGGTGTACTCAAACGCATCATCAACAAGACAATAAAAAACCGCTGTATAGTCTGACGGTCCTACCATCTGTTATATCATTATTCTCTGGAATTAAAGAGCGAACGGCTCCCACCGCTCTTTACCTGAGTAAGTGGGAATCCTGTGGACTTCTACTCCTTCGGCGATGCCTCTGCCCGTCATCGGAGGAGTCCTCAGAATACGTATTGCTGTCCCCCTCCTCCTCACTGGAGAGGTCGGAGTCAGATTTGTAGCTCTTTGACTAATTATCACGTCTACGCCTTGCAGGGGCACGGCGCATTCCTTGTGATTGGCGCGCATGTCGTTCGCCGGGAGTGCGAATTTTCCGTGCCGTCGCAGGGCCTTAACCCTCCAACTTGCACAGTTCATCCTCTGTAGCTGACCGTAAATTGATAACAGCCATTCTCAACTATGAGAAACTGATCAAGATAATGAAAAGTGTCTATGTTGTAATAAAAAAACAAGTCGAAACACTTAACTAAACAAGTACAACATTATGGACAATGACAGTATACCAACGTTGCTACAAGTATACACGTGTATTTGTCCCGCCAATATAGGCGGCTCACTATACAGGCGAATGGAGCTCCGTGACAAAGCAACAACTAACTTAAATTAAATTTAATTTAAATATCAGAACGCCAGGGAACCGCTGACTATGAATTACCCCTAATAAATATTTAAATAAATAACAATAAACTATAAGAACTGTCACAAAATCTCTCACTCGTAATTCGTGCAATGGTCACGTAGGTCAGCGCACGAGGCGAGCGAGAGGGATCCAGCAAGGTTAAAAAAATACAAGTATAAAATATAGACAAAATACTTGAGAACTTCTGAACACCAAATGTGCGTGAATTTGGTGTGTGGTTACACACCGTCACAATATGTAGTTGAGAACTGCTTTCAGGTTCCAAAATCAATAAGACTATGCTGAGGGACATCACTCACGTGCGTTCAGTAGAATGTCAGGAGGTAAGAGACCGCGCTGCGATGTCACATCGATGTTGTCGGCGCGGTTAGCGGTCTAAGGGAGATAACTCACCCCGAAATTCACCACACTACTATATACCACCTACCGGCAGCATGCTAAATTCATTATCATTGGTTGTCAGTATGAGAAGAAGTTGAGAACGACTTGAGAAGAACTTAAGAAGAACTTGAGAACGGATTTTCCCATTCCCCAGCACTTGGGGACGCATTTTCTCAAAAAAGAACGACTGATCGTGCCAGATAACGTCCGCAACTGGAAATAGTGTCTACACAAAAGGGATCCACGTGAGAAAATAGTTCGTCATAAACATATCAATACAAAGTTACGGAAACATAATGTGATAATAAAAACACCATTTCAGGTGTAAACGTGCTTATGGAAAACCCAATGACGATAGGATTGTTTAAAAAAAAAATCTACGTAGTTTTATGGTTCATTGTATTCCTCCGTGCAAAACTTCTATATGTTTATGTTTGTCACAGGTGATCGTTGACCATTGAGCTTAGAATTCATTTGAAAAACATGGTGTTTAGTTGAGTTTTTTGAATGAAGAAATATATAATTAAGGTAGTAGTATATAGATAATAACTAGTTTATCATACAATATTTTCAGTGTTTGTCGTTCGAACAATTTTCTCATCGCTCGCAAGTAGATAAAATCTCGAGTCCACGTGCGATGGCCTCTCGATTTTCTCCACGTGCTCGCGATGAGAAAATTGTTCTCACGACAAACCCTGAAAATACAGTGTGATAATCTATAACTAACACCTAAAACACTTACCGCTGTGTTACAGCAAAATGCCACTTGTCCTGCTGCTAATATCAGAGGGCTCAATAAGAAGACACAGTATATAAATGCACGTCCTACTCCGTCTACGTATTAGGCCAGAAAGGCCCAAATACGGTACATGACCCCAACTCTCTGGGACATAAATAGGACAACACGTGACAACACGACAGGTACACTGGTAACGCACGTGAACAGGACAACACGGGTAAAATGTAGTACTCACACAAGGGGACCAAATGTATGAAAAGGAAATGAATAGAGTAAATGAAAAACAAGATGAAAAACGTAAAAGATATACAGAAGAGGAATGAAAAGGAGGGCTAAACACTTAATAGGTGCCTGCCACAATGAACATCAATGTTCCTTTTCTATATAAACAGCGGAACTCATTGCTCTATTGTTGCCATATTTGTTGCGCAGAATAAGGCATCAAAGAACAATCCTTCACAAAAAGTATTGAAGTATGGCATAACTTATAATTGTTTGGCTCAGAAAGCCACTTTACCTGAACATGTTTACCTGAATACTTTTCAGTAATGGAATGTTTTGTATTTCAAATCCGGATTGACTAACTACCATATAGTTACCAATCAGGAATGAAAACAAGATACATGTATATATTTAGTATATAACCTTTTTTTCTTATTTATAATGCATTCATACATACACGAGAATAGCATATTTTTTTTTTATGTTCTCCAAAAAAAACTTTTTTTATATCCAGTTGCCTTCTTTAATCAAGTGCTGGCTGGATACTGGTGTAGCAGAGCTGGGCTAGGACTCCACCGTCAATCTGCCAGCTCAGTCGGTTAAAGCAAAAGCATAGTAACATATGAGCTTCTGGGTTGGAGCATCTTCATTTTTATCGTAAATGCCCCTCAGGATATGATTTTCTTTTCAGAAATGATTTAGCAAAGGAAATTTAATGCTGGCAACAGTTTCCTACTCAAACCTACAGTATTTGGCAATGGTACGGGAATTCGTAATAGATTTGTTAAAGACGCAATACACAAAGAGATGTAATGTTGTCACGCATAACTATTACTAACGTGGGATGTTTGGAAGTGTCTATTTATAGAACACAACTGCGAGCGGTAATACACAACCCATCCTGTAGTAAAAAGTTAACGTGTTAGAGCTATCTAAGAATAACGCTCGTTTAAAATTATCACAGCGGATATTTAATGCCATTGCCAAATTAATCAACATGGCGATCCATGAAGCATCATGTTTGAATTCAAGTAGTAGGTGAGTACATTATGATATTTTACAATACATGAGCAGAACCTACCCTAGGCTTATTTTTAAGTCAATCTATTTTAGGACAATCTGTCTTAATGTTTACATCATTGTATGCTTCTAATAGCTTACTTTCCAGTCGTTTTCCTATCATTTTTCATAGGAGAATATGATTTTTATTTGTTTTCTTTTATAAAATTAGGCAATAATAAATGATGTGACGAATATCTGTAAAATCTGTCGAGGCCCACTTTGCTCGTGGGACTGCATGCTCATTTTTAAGTGCGGCCTATTTCCAATGACGGCTTATTATCAAGAGTTTAGGGTTTCACCTAACAACTCTCATCAATGACATAAATGTATGGTGGCGTATAAGGGTCTAGACTTGTTTGTATGTCCTTATAGGTAGATTTGTTTATTTCTTTAATGTCTACCTGTCAATTTAATGTTTGTATACGTGTCGACATATATGTGGCGTTGTTTACCCTGATAATTGTTGACTAAATGAGATTCAATGTAATATGTAAACATATAATAAATCCATGGCTTTACGAAGCTGACAAAAAGTTTGTTCACTTACAAAACATTGAGTTATTGATGTCGACTTTAATTTAGTCTATATCATGAACATATGCTTGTTGAATTATAGGTATATTTGTTTACTTGACTTTTGTCGCCTTATTGCTGTTCAGTTTCACAGGGAAACAAAATTTATGTAGACTCCTTTAAGATGTTCACTACAATTATGCCGACTTTGATCAAGTCTATATAATTTACATATGCTATTTATCGACAGGTCGACAAAAGTCAAGTAAACAAGTCTACATATAAGTCAACAAGCATATGGAAATTAAATAGGCTTAATAAACGTCAACATCATTAACTCAAGTTAACGTAAATGAACATAGTTGTTGTCAACTTCGTTAAAACGTAGATTTATTTCACTTTTACATGGTGCATTAAATATCATAAAGTCAAAAATTAGCAAGTAAACAACGACACATATATATCGACATGTAAACATATATTATATAGACTTGATCATGTATAAAACAACACAATTTAAGTTGGACTTATGAAAATATTTTGAGCATAATTTTAGTAAACGTCTTAAAGAAGTCGATTTATTTAAGCTGACATGCTTAATGAATATCAACAGATGGACATAAAACAAGTAAGCAAGTCTACCTATAAGTCAACAAATATGTATAACTTACATAGACTTAATAACAAGTCCAGACCCTTACACGCCACCATAGGTAACTTTCTAAATACATTATAATGACTTTTTTATAAGTCAACAACTATATATAACTTACATACGAGATCATTATCATTGTAGGACGACTTGGCGAATTAATGTTGCTTCACTGAAAACAACCCATGGCAGGAATATGTAGCAATAACAATACCTTCATGGTTTAGTGATTGTGTGACGTGTTGAGCGTTAAAACAACTATAGAATTTCTGTCATTCGGCGTATCATATAAATTATTTATAGGGGTTTTATGTATATAGGCAACGGGGACAGGTTTATGTTACCAAAGTTTTTAGAATTTGAGTCTGATGAAAGGCTTTGCGGTTAGTCACGTGTAGGAAACTGGACAGGTGACACTTGTATCTTACATGAGAAGGGAAAATCGTTAACGCTTACGCAACATATTGCGATAGTAAAACTATGTATTCATGACACATTAAATAGAATTAATTGCTGAAACTTGTGAAAGCAGTTAGCTGTGTATAAACGATGTTGTTGAAAATAGGATGTAAATTTCTTGATATAGTTAATTTTCAATCTGACATTTCGTTCAGAATGTGTAAATGTCACCAATTGTTGATGAAAAAAATATCTTGAAGATCACATATCTCATATGAAACAACTCACTTATCTTGTACACACTAGGAACATGTATACATTTGTGTCCAGTAACGATGTCCGGTTGTTCGTTGGAAGTAGTAGCAAGCGCGCCTTGAACACTTTGCGATGTGTTCCGAAATAGACTTGAACACTTTGCGATGTGTTCCGAAATAGACTTGCAGAATTGTGATTTGCAGACTTAACCCCCCACGGAAAAGTTCCGGACAAAACATCGCGAAAATTAACAATAGTAGGTCTGGTATGGAAGCACAAAAGAGTAAGCCATGATAAGGGTATAATAAAAAATAACCTTTATACATAAGTTACCATGGATAACGAAAGCTGAGTGAAATAGACCTTGTAACAACTTTAAAATTTACACAGATTACACATATGATGAAATGTAAAGTGTCTGTGAACATCCTTTTAAACATCCCACAGGTAAAAAGGTGTATGGCCTATTAACATAGTGTACGTATCTTTATAAGTTTGTTAGGGTACGTTTAAGCAATAATGAATGAAAACAGATCATTGTCGAGCTACGCCGAAGGAATGGTGCCAAGAGAAAGAAATACACAAACCCGAATATACATTTTCAAATTACAAATTTATATACCAAAATACAGCAAAGAATATAGTTCTACATAATCCCAATTTCACTAAGATTTCTTGTCTTCACAAGCAATATTAAAAATAACAATACTGCCTGCTGTGGCTACTGAAGTATTTTAATAATTAGAGAATGATTAGAAAATTACATTTCAACACGAAAATTACAAATGACCCATTCGATGGTTATTGCAAGTATAAACTATACAACCGGCATATGTTAATAGTGACTCAAAACTGGTCCATACCCGTGTCCGATTCACTCTGATTGAATGTTCTTTCAAATAAACAGGTCCAATCTACAGTTACAATACACAGTTCAAATACTAAGTTCTGTTCAGAATGTGACATGTTGGAAGCCACTGTATCATTTACCACTTCACACACATGAGAGTCCCGGCTTGTGCATCCCGTAGAGGGATGGTCTGTGTGATCAGCTAAAAACGTACACTCAGATGGCCGGATAAAGTTCAGGTCGTTCGCCCATGTTATGTATGTTGACCTGATGCTGCCCGCGCTCAAGCCATGCCCAGCTGTCCTGGTTGGGTCCCCATCCTGGTGTATACTTCATCACAAGTTCACCACGAAGCCTGTCAGACCAAAAATATGTGTTTACTATATCGATCCATTTTTGTTTACATTTTAAATACTACTTCCGATTGTAACCCGAAAGTGAAAGCTACCTACGTGACATTTCGGTTTACACTTCAGATTGAAAAGTACAAAATACCACGAAATTACTCACTGACAGCTGAATATTACCAAAGACCGTTCTTCTGTTATCGTTTTATAAACACTTAAACGTCATAATACTACTGTACAACAGTGTTAAACTTGCTAACACACGTGTTCAAGCAACCAGTCCAAGTCTCGCTTCACTTACAAGAAAAAATAGCGAGTTGCTACTATAAATATATTTGACACTCAAATATACTTAATCGGTCATGATTATTGTAACAAATACAACTTGTATTCACTTTTCAATGGCCAAAACTAGCCCTTAACAGCAACGACAATTGCTCCCACCACTCGACAACATGCCGGCCACCCAGGTGAATGTTTTCCCGCTGCCCGGAGATCAGCCTATCTTATTTCTGATTGGCAAAAAAAATCCCACCCTGCACAGTTCAGCTAAATCCTATAGCTACAGATATATACGCGGCAAAATCCAAATCCCCCCATATTTCTAGTCCAGAAACATATAACTTAATTCTACAGGTAGAAATAATCAAAGAAACACATGCCATACCTTGACGATCACCACCTCATGTCGATCTACTAGCACGCACAACCTCTCATTGCACAACAACTTATGTCTATTACTATCTTACCAGACGAATATCATGACGTCGATTTATCTTTAATTTTTATTATTCCAGTTCTGATCAACAAGCAAAGACTACCAAGAAGAAATCGTCACCAAGAAGATGGTTTGTGTTGGTATCAGGATATCTAATCATGTTTCTCTGCACTGGGTTCCCCTTCAATGTGTCTGTCATCAACGCTGAGCTCCTCCGTGCATTTAAGAAAAGTAAAACAGAAACGGCTTTGGTTCAATCAATTATGGTCGGGGCGCTTTATGTAGCAGGTAGGCAACTTAGTCGTGCATTAGTTTTTGCAAATATGTGGAATTGAAATTCGGGAAATAATTAACATATGTTCATATTGTGTGGTAGAATATAAAACGAGGATGAGAAAATGCCATAATAAATATAATTTTTTCACGATCGTTATAAATTCTAGCCTTATATAAAACATGCTTTGACAAATGCTATTCTACTACGTCAACTTATGATTAAAGGTGCATCTCTGTCTTCCTGTTTGACTATGAGGCAAGAGGACCTGAGTAATATAATTATATAAAGTATGCTCTTTTTGGTGCGCGCAAACATTTGTCCCATGATGCCTTGTGTTTTCATCCTTTTGTCATATATTTGGTTGCTACAGCTTGTGATTCTATACTGCCTGCATTATGTGGATATATTTGACAATGATTACATATGCAAAACCATATGTGTTCACTCACCCGACAAAATCATCCAAAACCATTCACAGACTGCGTATTTATTTACTTTACAATGCAGGGGTAGTTAAGAAGACTCACAAATTACGTGGCATTAGCATAATACACGTACATGGCAAATCAACAACAAAAATGATATAATTATACGCCGATGTAGCATTATCTTGAATATCAAATTGATTGATCTAATGGCTTCATTTAAAATGTTTAAAGATATTTGACAGCTTTCTTCTTAACATGTACATAAAGCTGTACTGAATGTTTGATTAAGTTTTTTAAAATACTCACATTGTCTATGTTATATATGTAATACAGGAACTCTCTGTGGGAAGTCTGTAGCCAGATACGGAGCTAGAGTGACTGGGATAGCTGGAGGTTTGTTGGTGACACTCGGTCTTGTCCTCTCTTTCTTTGCCCAAAGTATCCCTCATCTCATCGTGACGCTCGGCCTAGTTTCAGGTAAAACTATGATCAAAGACATAAACATATGTGGAATTTACAGCGTCGATGCGGAAGCGTTGGAAACATGTCTGCAAATCATGGTAGCACGCATGAAAAGGTGTTTGAAATCTTAAACAAAGGCCGATTCGGCCTGCGTAAAACATTTCTTTGTAGAATGATGTCAAGTAAGATATCAATTTAACAATTCAACATGGATGTAGTTGAGATATGCACATGAATGTAACCTCACTCAATGAAGCTATTTTGTAATTCGTCTACGGCAAGTCACACACGGTTCAGCTTTTCACATTTTCAAGGGGGGGGGGGGGGGGTAAAGGTTATTTTGGGAAATAACACATGCACGCACATGTTTATTCTCAAATTTCAAATCAAAATAGGAAATTATGGTGAAAATATCAAATTAGGTTTAGCATTAATGTTAGCCTAGCTCGATAAGAAATTTGGTAAAATCAAAAAATGACTTTGCTTCCAACAGGAATTGGTTTCTCTGCGACGTTTATTTCTGCTTTAACGAGTGTCGGAGAACACTTTGAGGGACATTCTAAACTGATGGCGCTGTCGTTTCTCACATTTGGATCCGGATGCGGTGGTATAACACTTCCCTTCCTCCTACACTTCCTCATTGAAGAGTTCGGTTGGAGAGGGTGTTTACTCATCACAGGAGGACTTATGGCAAATATAGCGCCCTTTTTTGCTGTATGCAGACAGCTATCTGTGAGCGTTCAGCAGATTACAGAGAATAAATCAGATGAACTAAACACTGAAGCAAAACCGGAAGGTGACGGTTTTACGAAATCGCTACGTGCGTTAGGGAAAAATAAAGTTTATTTAACACATGTTGTTGCTATGTGCTGCACACTTCCGGTCATAAATTCGTCATTGGTTTTCATGATTGATTTCCTGAAGACACAAGGGTTTGACTCTGAAACAGCAATACTATTGTATTTGTATTCACAAATAGCAACAACAGTGTTTGCACTCGTACCAAGCTTGTGTAAAAAGTACATTCCTCACACCAGCGTTCTTATTATCCCTGCGTATTTTACACTAATCGGATCATCGGTGACTGCTTTCCTTCCTCATGCAGACACGTATGCGCAGTTCGTTGTTCTCCTCGTCTGTTTGGAAATGACGTTAGGTGTTTCCATCACAACCATCTCCATGACAACAATGAAGGTTGTGGGACTCAAGGACTACTCGGCAGGATTGGGAGTATTAATGACGCTAATAGGCATTAGTGGCAGCATTGCGGGACCAATTGTAGGTAAGAAAGACGTGATCTTTTATCATTATAATGTTATTGCCATGACCTTGTTTTTTGATAAACGTCTAAGTGAGCATTATTTCACAATACGTATTTCTATATTATAGGACTGTTCGTTGATCTGACGGGATCCTACACGAAGCCATTTTACGGTATGTCCGCTGGTCTCGGCTTGGCGGCCGGCCTGTTCGTGTTAGCTGCGGCAATAAAACAGAAGTCAAAAAGCAAACAATTGGACAACGATGATGATATCACCGAGGTCGTGGGAGCCGTCAATCCTGCATTTTCTATATAAAAAGGAGTATGATTGATTTTACTATTTTTTAAGTGAAGTAGATACAGGTGCAGCATGCGATACACTTTGACGAAGTTGTGTTTTTAGATATGCTGCACCGTATATCAACAGCGGTTGATGTTTTACATTTCGAGCTCTGGTAACTGTATTTTAAGAAAATACAATTTTTCAGAAACCAGTTGCAGCTGAGCAAACTAAAATAAACAGAACGTATTTAATCAAAAAATGATTTGGGAATATCGCATGAATAAATAAATTCCAACTAGCTTATTGATGTTATTACAGCAATAGGCATAGCAACGCGTTTTTATTAATTACTACATTTATATATGTAATTTTTTGTTCGTATAAGGAAGGGAATTTTGAAAAATGACTTTATGGCAAATGGTCGCTTAAAGGTTTCAGTTTACTTTAAAACTCCAAATTAAAACGATTGAGTGATATCACAGTCTCATTATTTCCTTTGTTTCATATGACATAGGTGCTACCTAGATTTACTGTGTTTACTTCAAATACAATGTCAACCACTAGATCAGAGTACTGTATTTATACAGCGGAAATAGAACGGAAATAGAGTAGTTATTTTCAATATTCCAACCTATTATTATCAATATGTCCACTTCATACCTGAACCCTGAATGCATTAGTGACATCGTCAATTGTTATGACAACAAGAAAGATGTTATGTTTTTCCTTCCCAGAACGTCTTTCTTCCAGATACAATGTATTGTGGTATGACTGTATTTTACAATTCTTAGATAATAATATGAAAGTCGCACATCATGATTTACTGCCACCCCTCATCAGCGCCTGGTGATTTTTTGACAATTTAATGACAATTTAACTATGGCAATGGAAGTAACTTGTTCAAACATGTGTTACATGCGCAGAAATGAGAGATACAAAATAAAGAACACCTTTATTATTTTACTTTTTAGCCTTTTCCGTTAATTAATCCCATATAATACAATAAATCAGATCCATTAAGCCAGTTAATTGCAATTATGGTGAAAATTAGCATTCAGGATGCTTAACCTATTGACTGTCACGATCGAGTCGATGGTGCCTGTATTTGCTTGAGCGGTGAATGTTTTGACGTTATAATAAGTATAACGTTTTCAATATTGACGTACTCCTTTGATTGGCATGGACTAATCGTGAATTATCGGCACTGATGTGGCACAAAAATCTCGAGGTACTCACAAAATATATCTGAGGTATACGGCAATTGAGCCTGCTTCGACCTAAACGTGACCCTATTTTGACATCACACAATGTACAAATAGACAGGTTTTCTGTTTCGGTAAAAGTTTGACAGCCTACCTAACTTGATTGAGCGTCTTACATGTACTTCATTTTTATTAATAAAACCGCTTCGATGTTGCTCTCATAAAAGATTTGAAGTGGACATGTGTGTTAAAGGGGAAGGAATTTGTGAAAATAGAGGGTCCTCTTTTCTTACAACGTGAAGCTTGGTAGACATTCAGAACGTTCTGGGTGGAAAAATGAGTGTCAGGTCGTTTCGTCCTAAATCCCGTTTGCCCTGAGTCGTTCCGTACTAAGTTGTTTCGTCTTAAATCCTGTTTGCCCTCAGTCGTTCCGTACTAAGTTGTTTCGTCCTAAATCCCGTTTGCCCTGAGTCGTTCCGTACTAAGTTGTTTCGTCCTAAATCCCGTTTGCCCTGATTCGATCCGTACAAAGTTGTTTCGTCCTAAATCCTGTTTGCCCTGAGTCGTTCCGTACTAAGTTGTTTCGTCCTAAATCCTGTTTGCCCTCAGTCGTTCCGTACTAAGTTGTTTCGTCCTGAATCCCGTTTGCCCTGATTCGTTCTGTACTAAGTTGTTTCGTCCTAAAATCCCGTTTGCCCTCAGTCGTTCCGTACTAAGTTGTTTCGCCCTGAATCCCGTTTGCCCTGAGTCGTTCCGTACTAAATTGTTTCGTCCTAAATCCTGTTTGCCCTGATTCGTTGCGTACTAAGTTGTTTCGTCCTAAATCCTGTTTGCCCTGAGTCGTTCCGTACTAAGTTGTTTCGTGCTAAATCCCGTTTGCCCTGATTCGATCCGTACTAAGTTGTTTCATCCTAAATCCTGTTTGCCCTTATTCGTTCCGTTCTAAGTTGTTTCGTCCTAAATCCCGTTTGCCCTGAGTCGTTCCGTACTAAGTTGTTTCGTCCTAAATCCCGTTCGCCCTGAGTCGTTCCGTACTAAGTTGCTTCGTCCTAACTCCCGTTTGCCCTGACTCGTTCCGTACTAAGGTGTTTCGTCCTAAATCCTGTTTGCCCTCAGTCCTTCCGTACTAAGTTGTTTCGTCCTAAATCCTGTTTGCCCTCAGTCCTTCCGTACTAAGTTGTTTCGTCCTGAATCCCGTTTGCCCTGATTCGTTCCGTACTAAGTTGTTTCGTCCTAAATCTCGTTTTCCCTGATTCGTTCCGTACTACCTAAATCCTGTTTGCCCTTATTCGTTCCGTTCTAAGTTGTTTCGTCCTAAATCTCGTTTTCCCTGATTCGTTCCGTACTAAGTTGTTTCGGCCTAAAATCCCGTTTGCCCTCAGTCGTTCCGTACTAAGTTTTTTCGTCCTAAATCCCGTTTGCCCTGATTCGTTCCGTTCTAAGTTGTTTCGTCCTAAAATCCCGTTTGATATCTAAGCCGTACTAAGTTGTTTCGTCCTGAATCCCGTTTGCCCTGAGTCGTTCCGTACTAAGTTGTTTCGTCCTCAATCCCGTTTGCCCTGACTCGTTCCGTACTAAGTTGTTTCGTCCTAAATTATGTTTGCCCTGATTCGTTCCGTACAAAGTTGTTTCATCCTAAATCCCGTTTGCCATGAGTCGTTCCGTACTAAGTTGTTTCGTCCTAATTCCCGTTTGCCCTGAGTCGTTCCGTACTAAGTTGGTTCGTCCTAAATCCTGTTTGCCCTCAGTCGTTCCGTACTAAGTTTTTTCGTCCTAAATCCCGTTTGCCCTGAGCCGTTCCGTACTAAATTGTTTCGTCCTAAATCCCGTTTCCCCTGATTCGTTGCGTACTAAGTTGTTTCGTCCTAAATCCCGTCTGCCCTGAGTCGTTCCGTACTAAGTTGGTTCGTCCTAAATCCGGTTTGCCCTCGGTCGTTCCGTACTAAGTTGTTTCGTCCTAAATTATGTTTGCCCTGATTCGTTCCGTACAAAGTTGTTTCATCCTAAATCCCGTTTGCCATGAGTCGTTCCGTACTAAGTTGTTTCGTCCGAAATCCCGTTTGCCCTGAGTCGTTCCGCACTAAGTTGATTCGTCCTAAATCCTGTTTGCCCTCAGTCGTTACGTACTAAGTTGTTTCGTCCTAAATCCTGTTTGCCCTCAGTCCTTCCGTACTAAGTTGTTTCGTCCTCAATCCCGTTTGCCCTGACTCGTTCCGTACTAAGTTGTTTCGTCCTAATTCCCGTTTGCCCTGAGTCGTTCCGTACTTAGTTGTTTCGTCCTAAATCCTGTTTGCCCTGAGTCCTTCCGTACTAAGTTGTTTCGTCCTAAAATCCCGTTTGCCCTCAGTCGTTCCGTACTATGTTGTTTCGTCCTAAAATCCCGTTTGCCCGCAGTCGTTCCGTACTAAGTTGTTTCGTCCTCAATCCCGTTTGCCCTGACTCGTTCCGTACTAAGGTGTTTCGCCCTAAATCCTGTTTGCCCTGAGTCGTTCCGTACTAAGTTGCTTCGTCCTAAATCCCGTTTGCCGTGACTCGTTCCGTACTAAGTTGTTTCGTCCTAAATTATGTTTGCCCTGATTCGTTCCGTACTAAGTTGTTTCCTCCTAAATCCCGTTTGCCCTGAGTCGTTCCGTACTTAGTTGTTTCGTCCTAAATCCTGTTTGCCCTTAGTCGTTCCGTACTAAGTTGTTTCGTCTTAAATCCCGTTTGCCCTGAGTCGTTCCGCACTAAGTTGATTCGTCCTAAATCCTGTTTGCCCTCGGTCGTTCCGTACTAAGTTGTTTCGTCCTGCATCCCGTTTGCCCTGAGTCGTACCGTACTAAGTTGTTTCGTCCTAAATCTCGTTTTCCCTGATTCGTTCCGTACTAAGTTGTTTCGGCCTAAAATCCCGTTTGCCCTCAGTCGTTCCGTACTAAATTGTTTCGTCCCAAATCCCGTTTGCTCTGATTCGTTCCGTACTAAGTTGTTTCGTCCTAATTCCCGTTTGCCCTGAGTCGTTCCGTACTAAATTGTTTCGTCCTGAATCCCGTTTGCCCTGAGTCGGTCCGTACTAAATTGTTTCGTCCTAAATCCCGTTTGCCCTGAGTCGTTCCGCACTAAGTTGATTCGTCCTAAATCCTGTTTGCCCTGAGTCCTTCCGTACTAAGTTGTTTCGTCCTAAAGCCCGTTTGCCATATTGAATATAAATGAATGCAATTTTGGACTTTTTTGGTATTTCTGCTAAATCCCGTTTGCCCTCAGTCGTTCCGTACTAAATTGTTTCGTCCTGAATCCCGTTTGCCCTCAGTCGTTCCGTACTAAGATGTTTCGTCCTAAATCCCGTTTGCCCTGAGTCGGTCCGTACTAAATTGTTTCGTCCTAAATCCCGTTTGCTCTGATTCGTTCCGTACTAAGTTGTTTCGTCCTGCATCCCGTTTGCCCTGAGTCGTACCGTACTAAGTTGTTTCGTCCTAAATCTCGTTTTCCCTGATTCGTTCCGTAGTACCTAAATCCTGTTTGCCCTTATTCGTTCCGTTCGAAGTTGTTTCGTCCTAGATCCCGTTTGCCCTGAGTCGTTCCGTACTAAATTGTTTCGTCCTAAATCCTGTTTGCCCTTAGTCGTTCCGTACTAAGTTGTTTCGTCCTAAATTATGTTTGCCCTGATTCGTTCCGTACTAAGTTGTTTCATCCTAAATCCCGTTTGCCCTGAGTCGTTCCGTACTAAGTTGTTTCGTCCTAAATTATGTTTGCCCTGATTCGTTCCGTACTAAGTTGTTTCCTCCTAAATCCCGTTTGCCCTGAGTCGTTCCGTACTAAATTGTTTCGTCCTTAATCCCGTTTGCCCTGACTCGTTCCGTACTTAGTTGTTTCGCCCTAAATCCTGTTTGCCCTGAGTCGTTCCGTACTAAGTTGTTTCGTCCTAAATCCCGTTTGCCCTGTGTCGTTCCGTACTAAATTGTTTCGTCCTTAATCCCGTTTGCCCTGACTCGTTCCGTACTTAGTTGATTCGCCCTAAATCCTGTTTGCCCTGAGTCGTTCCGTACTAAGTTGTTTCGTCCTAAATCCGATTTGCCCTGAGTCGTTCCGTATTAAGTTGTTTCGTCCTAAATCCCGTTTGCCATATTGAATATAAATGAATGCAATTTTGGACTTTTTTGGTATTTCTGGAAAGAGTTATTTTTTCATATTTGTAATTTACAATGTTTGACCAATTTGTCGGTATATAAAAGTAAATGGTTTGCTAAAAGTGATTAAAATCATAACTGTCTGCATAAAGAAGGTTTTTGTCATTTTATTGGACTTTGAACAGAAAGCGCCCCCAGTGGAGTTTACTTATAAAATGCATAAAAACTGGAAAAATATGCGGTAAAAGTTCATAGAAAGGGAAATACTTCACTTCCAAAAAACTGTGTATTATACATTGAATACCTGAAGGATGATTTCCTTTTTGCCAGTCCCCATTTTTCTTTTTGTTTGAAAATCACGTTAGCACTGAATTTGGCGGGAAAATGATAGTGGGCTTTCCTATCTTGAATGTGTAAGAAATAATATGTCATATGTAGCTTTATATATATATATATATATATATATATATATATATATTATGTTATACAAAGGTAAGGCAAAGTGTTGCAAGGCAATCCATCGTCCCCCCCGGATATTGATTTCTATATCTATCAAATAGTACACTTATGTCAGGAAGCATAGGTCACAATGAGGTCATAGCGACCTAATTATTGCACTCCGCCCCAAAGATGTCCTTATGTACACAATATCTGGTTACCCAAGGTAAAACAGTATAGAAGATATGACACGGACATTTTGTTTTCAAGTCA